AAGGCCACCCCCCTAGTTGCGCCTCTGCAGAGAAAGCAAAAAAATTTTCAAAAGTTTTGCAATGGAAACCATATCTATGAGATTGCACTTTTTGACATTAAATTCCAATGATCTAAAAGAGAACTGCATTGCCTAAAACTGTACTTTGCAAACCTAATGCATACACTGCAAATCAATATGATGCGGAAAAAGACAATATTTATATTATAGTTTTGCAGAGTAGCTTTTCTAAAGATTTAAAAAAGTAACATATTTTATTCTTAGTGTAAAACTATTTTTTATGTTACTTAAAATAAATTCAGTTTTTTTTACAGATCTTTGTAGTTAATGTAAAATGAATGACTTAAATGAAGGATATAAAACAAGGTGAAAGCTGAAAGGTAGTAAATGAAGCCTTTATTTGATGGAGTTTTTTAAACAAATTCCCCCCCCCCCTCCATACAGAATCCTTATTTACGCCCATGTAGCATGCTCTCAAACAAAAATCGAGTAGTAGCCAATTTCCTTTTAAACTCAGGCTAGAAACAGACACAAAGACAAAAGTTTGAAGAAGATCAAAATTTTGCGCAAAAAAACATGGTCATTTCATAGATAAGATTGATATCCTTGCAAAATTCTCAATATCTCTGGCAATTTTACAGCAAAAAAAGACAGACAACTTTTAGAAATCACATGCCTAGGAGAATTTTGTGGTTATTGTTTTAAGAATAATACATTTGAAAGAAGGTTGATGATTGAATTTCTCAATTAAATTCAAATATTTAAGATAATTAAGATATCAAATCGTCTTTCTATTATCATGTTTCGTGGGACACCCTGTATATGAATGTATAATTGTTTGTAAATTTTTGTTTAAATCTTCTCTTCATATAGGGTAGATACTTGATCCTCAAGCTAACTGGGGGTATTATAATGTTGAAATTTGAACAGGGGGGGGGGGTTGCAACAAAGATGTTTGGGATATGGTAAATAGAGAGACAGTTTAAAACAGTAAGATTTGTGGTAGGGATGGGCAAAATTTGTAAGGTCCAATATGTGGTTCAAAATGTATTGACAAGTTGGTATAAGTTTGCTTTAATTACATAGTGGAAAAATTTCAAATCTTAACCAAAAAGTTTTGAAAAACAATTTATCAAATCGTTTTTAGAATCTTTATTGTAAATGCTTTTAGTCTTTGCATAATGTAATACAAAACTAAATTGTCAATTATGCAATTTTCAAATAAATGTTTTAATTAAAATAGATTTCGATAAGTTTAAACATGCTATATGTTTCAAACAAACTTGAAAACTATCCCCATCTATAAAATTCACGCAGGATGTTAGTTGTAAAGTTTTTGAAAGCCAATACTTTTACTCTAGGGGGCCCCCCACTAGAGCGTGTGAAATAGATAGATAATGTGTGTGTGGAGTGGTAGGGGAGATTTAGGGATGGATGGGTGGGGTTTGGCGGTGATTGTAGGAAGGGGGGGGGGTAGGAGAAGGCACACAAGTAATCAGAGTTACCAAACCTTGTGTTTTTATAGCATATGGTAATTAAATTCCTGCCGAATTGGTTTTTTTGTTCAATCTTGGTTTTTATTTTATTATGATTTTTGCATTTTTGTGTGTTTTTATTATTATGTCAAGTTTTAGCAGGTAAAATTTATGAAAGAGAAATGATTAGCAAATCTTTGTAATTCCAGATGTTTAAATTAGTATAACTTTTATTTTTGGTGTTTTCTGATTTTTTTCTAAAATTCTAGTTTATCTTTAGTTTATCTCTTTATTCTAGACCTGGCAACCCTGTTAAAGTAATTAGTTAAGCATTAGTTGCTAGTGCTACTGCTAGTGAGTGATCTGTATCCCTGATGATGATAAAGAGATAAAGAAATAAAGAGATAAAGAGATAAAGAGGTAAAGAGGCAAAGAGATAAATAAATAAAGAAATAAAGAGATAAAGATATAAATAGATAAAGTGTTCAAGAGATAAATAGATAAAGTGATGAAGAGATAAATAAATAAATAAATAATGAAAGAGATAAAGAGATAAAGAGAGAAAGAGATAAAGAGAGAAAGAGATAAAGAGATAAATAGAAAAATAAATACAGATATAAAAAGATAAAGTAATAAATAGGTAAATAGATAAAGAGATAAAGAGATAAAGAGTTAAATAAATAAAGAGATAAAGTGATGAAGAGATAAATAGATAAGTAGATTAAGTGATGAAGAGATAAATAAATAAATAAATAATGAAAGAGATAAAGAGATAAAGAGATAAAGAGATAAAAAGATTAAGAGATTAAGAGATTAAGAGATTAAGAAATTAAGAGTATTTTCCCAAGGAGATTGAACGAGACTCTCAAGGTTTAGCACTATACCAAAGCAAACTGACTTCAAACCACCTGTTCTATGGCCCCATCTCTCCCAACACCATCACCTGGTCGGAGCCAATCATCTCGTCCTCCACCAAGTCTGTGTCCATCCACTCTGTAAACGCCCAGGCTTTGCAAGACAGCCCCAATCCAGTCTCACCTACCAATCTAGGACCTCCAACCAAACCTGCCCAGCCCGCCTATCCAATTCTGCCCTTCAACCCTAATCCTCCAATCAATCAAGCCTCTCCGCTCGAACCAGATCCTCCAAACAATCTGGAGCCTACAACCGAACCTAATCCGCCCACCCATCCAATCCCTCTTTCCAGCCCTGACCCTCCAACCAATCCCATCTCACCTACCAATCCAAGACCTACAACCAAACCTGATCCGCCAACCTATCCAATTCCTCCTTTCAACCCTGATCCTCCAATCAATCCAGCCTCTCCACTCAATCCAGAGCTCCCAAGCAATCTGGAACCTCCAACCATACCTGATCCTCCAATCAATCCAGTCTCACTTACCAATCCAGGACCGCCAATAGAACCTGATCCGACTGTCAACCCAGCCTCTCCGCTCAAACCAGACCCTCCATTTGAGTTTGATCCATCTACAAATACTGTTCCTCCACTCAACTCTGATCCTCCTATGAACCAGTTATTCCCATTCCTCGATGTAGAAAAGCAGCTCCCTCAGGATACAATTCACGGACTAGCAGAAGACTCTGCAGCTGAGGACCTTGCTCCAGACAATTCGACTCAGCATCTCTCAGCTCAAGATGAGTTCCACACAGATCCTGCAAACCCGGACCAGTAAAAGTATAATTCCGGCGGGCACACTACATTTTATTTTGGTTTTTTTAAATTTTTTAAATCCATTAAATTTATTGTTTATTAACTCAACGTTATTTCCTATTTCATTATCTATCAACTTTCAACAAATCTCCTTGCAACAATTTCAAAACAAAAGAAAGTTTGCCAATACCCGCCGGAATCACAGCTCCCCGCCGGGAATATCAACAAAGTTACTTAACACAGGACCTGCCGGTGTCATCCCGAGATCATGTTCATATCGTAAACAACCAATATTTCTAGTTCTATATGCTAATTTGTCCTCTTTACAACAGTTCCACAATTCGCTAATTCATTGAATTGTATGTTTCCGGCAAGATCAATTTAATTACAAATTCATTTATTCCCCAAATAAAAAGTATAAATAAACATTTTCATATTTTTCCTGGAAATTAACTTCCAATATTAGTAAAAGAATCGAATTTATTCAATTAACAGACTTAATCTGTCTTATCTGTCCAACTTTATTCCTGTAATTTCAAACCAAATAAAACATTTGTAAATAAAGGAAAAAAAAACCAGTCGAAATATGCCGCAAACCACAGTTCCCTGCCGAGAACTGTGGCAAAGTTACCTCACAAATGAAATCAAACTCGTTTATAAAATATTTTAATTCAATCTATTTCCCTCTCTTCATTCAATTGCATTCATTTATATTCCCTCAAAGGAAACAATCTTGCATGCACGACAACAATGTAATATCTCCAGTTTATCAATCAATCAATCATGTAATAATCAATATTCATTTAATTTAATTTAACATCCAATTCTTTGGACTACCCTTTAACTAGCAACAGATTATTCATGACATCGTAGTTCTGTACCAACTTTGATAGTCCGACAATGTTAATAATATTCCTACATGTGGTGCAAAATATGTAACTTGTACTGTAACAATCAATCAATCAAACCCACTATGTAAATATTTAGGGGATATGGTTCTAATTTTTCTCGTCTATAAGCCTTTATATCCTCGAACCCCTCCTGGGGCCACTGTGAACCATATCCCTAATGTAACCCTGTTTCGAAAGTCGTCTCCGACAAATTGTATCTCCGTTGAATCCGTTGAGTACTCCGGCCACCCGCCAAACCAAACCTTGCCAAGGATTTTGCATAAATAACCTCATGGAGCTAGTAAAACTCAAAGTGCATTAAAAGAACCCATTTAAACATAATTTTCAGTGAATCATTTGCAATCAAATAGTGAACTTATTTAATCAGACGAAATATTTATTTTCAGAAGAATTAAATTTGCTTTAGACTTCTGTACAAACAACTTTTCGACCCAACACAGTTTTCTAGATTGTAAGTTCCATTCACAACAGTACCTTTTAAACCTTTTATTAATCAGTTCACAACAGTGCCTTTAAACCCTTTATTTATCGATTTACAACAGAAAAAAAAATATGATCCCCAATCCTGCTAAACCCACTAAACCTAAAATCTCCAATCCTACTAAACCTACAAAACCTAGAATTCCAATACTCATTTATTGATAATAAAAAAACATTCAACTGTTTAATCTTTATCAACAATTATTATTTATATGCATGTACGCCAATAACAATTTGTATTTTGTAGGAAACCTCGTTACTGAAATATACTTTTTCAAGAAGTTATCATCTATCTGTGTCTGGTAGAAAAGAGTGTTTTCCTTGCCAACTTGCCTTTCCCTCTTTCGAGTATTATTCCTTTTGTTCAGCTCACAATATTGGTTTGAACAACCCCGAGAACAGAAAACAAAGTTTGTAAAAGTTTAAGTTAGTACTTAAATCGTTCTATGTGTATTTTTGTTTAAAGTCAAAAAACTTGAACTACAATATCAATTATTATAGGCAATATATACGACGGAGACGACCTTATTTATTCAGTTTTGATTGTTACAAAGCTTCTACGAATTTCAAGTTTTGTAAGTAATCAAAGAGAAGCTTTTTTGACAGCTTCTCTTGACTTCTATGTTTATTTGTATCCATGCTCTTTAACAGCTTGATATACAGAGCGTCCCATATCATATTAGCTTATCTCCAAGCTTTAACGCCAAAATAAAACCGTAATACCCAAAAAATTTCTATTTTCCGCAAGAAAATTCTTATACTAGCCTTATTGAATTTTTCAAAATGATTTATTCTTCTTAAATTTTCTGATTAGTCCCGAAAATCGTAATTTAGACCGACTGAGATCTAATATGATGTGGGACACCCTGTAGATCAAAATTTAAATTTAAAGTCGTCTTCGTTGCAATGAAATTATCGCTTAACATTGTATGTTATATATGCATTTTATATATAGAGGTGGTTAAGGTTGTACTACAAGAAGATGGTTAGTGACTCCTGGAGTATTATGATGGAGTACTTATACACTTTATATATCTAGGAGTGGAAAAACGTACTCCTACAGGGTTTTAGTAGATGGTTAGTGACTCCTCCTGGAGTACTAGGATGGAGCACCTATACAGTATTCACTATTTATATCTAGGAGTGGAAGAATGTACTCCTACAGGAGATTTGTAGATGGCTGGTGACTTCTTGAGTACTAGGATGGAGTACTTATACACTTTATATATCCAGGAGTGGAAGAATGTACTCCTATAGAAGTTCCGTTTATGGCTGGTGACTTCTTGAGTACTAGGATGGAGTACTTATAAAGTATACACTTTATATCTAGGAGTGGACGAATGAGCTCCTACAGGAGTTTAGTAGATGGCTGGTGACTCCTTGAGTACTAAAATGAAGTACTTATACACTAAATATATCTAGGAGTGGAAGACTTTACTTCTACAGGAGTTTAATAGATGGCTGGTGACTCCTGGACTACTAGGATGGAGTAATTATACTCTACATATATCTAGGAGTGGAATAATGTACTCCTATAGAAGTTTAGTAGATGGCTGGTGACTCCTGGAGTACTAGGATGGAGTACTTATACACTATATATATCTAGGAATGGAAGACTTTACTTCTACAGGAGTTTAGTAGATGGCTGGTGACTCTTGGAGTACTAGGATGGAGTACTTATACACTCTAGGAGTGGAAGACTTTACTTCTACAGGAGTTTAGTAGATGGCTGGTGACTCCTGAAGTACTAGGATGGAGTACTTATACACTATATATCTAGGAGTGGAAGACTTTACTTCTACAGGAGTTTAGTAGATGGCTGGTAACTCCTGGAGTATTAGGATGGAGTACAACTCTAGAGGATATTTGGTCAAGGAACATATCCAACATAATTTAACTACACAGTGAGGGATACATACAGGAAGGGGTTTTAAAGGAAAATATGTGGTTGTGAAGGGAAGGATGTGGTTGTGTAGGGAATTATGGGGTTGTGAAGGGAAGGATGTGGTTGAGAAGTGAAGGATGTGGCTGTGAAGGGAAGGATGAGAATTTAAAGGAAAGGATGTGGTTGTGAAGGGAAGTATGAGGATGTAAAGGGAAGGATGTAGTTGTGATGGGAAGGATGAGAGTGTAAAGTGAAGGATGTGGTTGTGAAGGGAAGGATTACCTGAGAATGAAGGACGAATAATTATTACCTACAATGATGTTCATACAGACAACAAGGTTTTTTTCCCAGAGGTAAAAAATATTTAAAAACCTTTATATTTTTTAAAATAAACATTGTCGAACATTTCTTGATTGTATGGTTTAAAGGGACTGTATGTAGACGTAGATTAATGTAACCCTCCATTGTAAAGAGTGACATGTCGGATTCACAACGGTATCCTTAATTGATTATTTTCTACTGCGTGTTTTCTTTGAATCATCTTGCGCATTTCTGCTTAAGAAACTTTTAAAACAAAGGTCGCCATGTCAATCGAGTATATCCTTCACAATGGCAGACCCTTTCAAATATTTAAATTTTTTTACACATTTGAAGTTTTAGGTTTTGGAAAGATGGGGGAATGTTGATGAACCCGAGGATCTCAGAAGGAAATTATTACACAAAATAATCTAAATTAATCTGAAATAATCTAAAATAATCTGAAATAATCTGGAATAATCTAAAATAATCTAAAATAATCTGGAATAATCTGGAATAATCTGAAATAATCTGAAATAATCTAGAATATTCTAAAACAATCTGAAATAATCTAGAACAATTAAAATTAATCTGGAATAATATAAAATAATCCGAAATAATCTAGAATAATTAAAAATAATCTGAAATAATCTAGAATAATTAAAAATAATCTGAAATAATCTAGAATAATTAAAAATAATCTGAAATAATCTAAAAAAATCTGAAATAATCTGAAATAATCTAGAATAATTAAAAATAATCTGAAATAATCTAAAAAAATCTGAAATAATCTGAAATAATCTAGAATAATTAAAAATAATCTGAAATAACCTAGAATAATTAAAAATAATCTGAAATAATCTAAAATAATCTGAAATAATCTGAAATAATCTAGAATAATTAAAAATAAAATGAAATAATCTAGAATAATTAAAAATAATCTGAAATAATCTAGAATAATTAAAAATAATCGGAAATAATCTAAAATAATCTGAAATAATCTGAAATAATCTAGAATAATTAAAAATAATCTGAAATGATCTAAAATAACTTAAAACAATCTGAAATATTTCAGAATAAATTCAGCTTAATGTCAACTCAAAATCGTGTGTTCAAATTCTTTTTCGGAAGATATTTTGACAAGAAGTCAAAGACAATATTTGGACCGAGCACCGCGGCAAAGACAATATTTGGACCGAGCACCGCGGCTGGGATAATCCACAAGTTTCAATAAATATAAGATATGCAGATTTTTAATTGAAGAGCATTCAATATTACCAAAAACTTGTCCAATCCCTCGATATTGTTAGTGTAAGAAGAGTAGATAACCAGGTACCTGGAGGTGGAGGTGGAAAATGCCGCAAACAATTCTAAATATCAACCCTGGAAACCAAACTGCCAGCTCACACCAACAGAGTTGGACATTATTCTTGGCAGGTTGTTTTTTGTACACTTTGCAATAACATACTTCTATATATATACTTTAACTGACTGATTGACTGTCCGGTTGTCTTCAAAAGTTTTTGATTTTCGTTAAATTTTGAAAATCCATGCCGAAAACAAAGTTGTACAACAGCAACATTTTTCCAGTTTTGTTTCATTCATGAGAAAATGCTGAAAGATTGAACGACAGTTAAAATTTGAAATAGAAGATGGCCGCGAAGCGCCCTAATAGGCTGATAATATAAGTTTTTTTTTCAACTTGGTTAAATCTAAGAAAGAAGTATATACAAGGATTCTTTACTAAAACTTAAAATGGGGCAAGAAATATATAGACCAGGAACCGCCATATCTGATGCGTCAAATTTGTGTACTGCAGTGGGAGGCGATCAAAACAAAGAATTCAGGGGCAAAACATCAATTATGAGGGGGGGGGGGG